AACCATAAGTTCCTTGAATTATAAAATAAAAAATATAAATGCTTAAAACTTCAAGTTTTCATTGCTGTTTAATGTAAATGAAATCTAGAAAATTATGTTAAATATTTTAATGTGAGATAAATATTATTCAGCAGTTACCAAAAAAGGTAAAAATTAATATGGGTCTTCTGATATCAGAAGTTTCCATGAAAGTGAAAGACTATGAAAAGTACCTTTTAAGATCAAATTGTGAGAAAGGTCAGTAGAAGTATGGGCATTCAGAATGAGGTTAAGTTGCAAAAGATCAAGCTTCAGAGGTATGTAAATGGTCTATGAAAATATAGTCTCAGTAAGAAGAGAAAATTTGGCTCTAAATTTCCAATTGTCTTTGACATCTGCATTTTAAAATCTGATTTTCTGTGAATGTCATAGTTGGGAATAATTTGACATTAATTATTTCTTCTTTTCTTCCTTACTTATATACTCTACTAATAGTAATATAAATTTTGCTGAAGACCTTCCTGACTTTGTACTGAACATACTATAATTAATTCAAGAGAGAGTTGAACTTCTTATTAATAAGGAAATATTCAAAGCATAAACAGAACTTCTCACAAAACTGGCCAAGAATAAAAATTTGTTTACTTAGAATATCAAAATGCTGTAATTTCTTCTTCTTTCTTAGTAAATTTCCACTCCTTTTGGTCATACAATTTTTTTTTTAAAAAGGACTTTCTTCACCATAAAGTTTCAATGAGAAAAAGTATCCTATTTTTGAAAATATTCTAGGATTTTGAAAAATACCAGGGTTCCATAATAATGATGGAACTAGAATCTACTTGGATAAAATGAGGTAGTTTTTTCTTTACCCTGTCATGGCTTGCCTGGTGGCTCAGATGGTAAAGAATTCACTTGCAGGGCAGGAGACCTGGATTCGATTCCTGGGTTGGGAAGATCCCCTGGAGAAGGAAATGGCAACCCACTCCAGTATTCCTGCCTGGAGAATCCCATGGACAGAGGAGCCTGGTGGGCTATGGGGTCAGACACAACTGAGTGAATAAGCACAGCGCAGCACACCATGTCCCAAGTGTCCAGCATCCCACTGTCCAGCCAGACACTGGCCATCCTGGGTTATATTGATTTTTCTTTCTTACATTAATTTAAGAAGAATGTGCTTTTGGCAACTACTTTACAACAAGCCCTGCACTAAGAGAGTAAGATACAATGAAAATTCCTCTCATGGAATTTCTAGTCCAGAGCTGGGAAAAATATTCGGTAAATGCTTCAGTTGTATGAACTTTTAAGTTGTCCTGTATACCATACAGGAAAGGTCTGGGAGCCATGATAGCAAATTTTAGGAAGTAATCAATCCGGGAAGTGTTTAGCATCCCTATGTCATCCTTAGTGTGTGACATTTCCCGGAGCACGGAGATGAGCAAGAGGATGAGTTGAGGATGGTGGGTGAGAAAATGCAGGCGTTCTAAGCAGAGGGAACAGTGTTTGCAAGGGTCCTGAGAAGGAAGGCAAAACTCACAGGAAGAATCAGAGGAGGCCAGTTTGTGAGACAGGAAGAAACCAAGAGACTAGTGAAGATGAGCTCTCTGTTTCTAGACACAGGGACTCTCAGAATGACCACATTCAAGCACCAGCATCTACAGGATTAGGTACAGTCACAATTGCCACAGTTTCCAGAAATGGCACTGGCCTCTCCGGGGAATGAACTTTTTAATCACTTGGAATTTCTACTAATATAACCTTAAATTCACTAACAGTTAATTTACTGCCCTTCTTTATCCACACTTGAGATATAACTGAAGAACTTGTCCAAAGGTTCCCTGATCTTTTCCTGAACACTCTAAATGTGGAGACTAAAGACGCCAGGAGTAGGGAAAAACAGGTTGAGTTTAGTGGTGGTTGGTGAAGGGTACTTTTGTCCCTAGATATTTGCAGGGGGATTAGCCCCAGCAACCCTGAGGATATAAAAATCTGTAGAAGTTCAAGTCATTTATATAAAATGGCCCACTACTGTTGATGCTCTGGATCCCTGAGTTCCTCATTCCAGGATTTCAGTGAAACTTGAATCAGAGGTTGAGGAACCTAGTGATGCCTAGTGATGCTGCCTGGTATGGGGAAGAGGAAGCTGCCTTCTCAACTTTGACAGGTGAGATGAGCATAAGAAACTTAAGACTGAAGAGGTGGATTGAGAATCTTTGCTTTATAATGTTCATGTTTGTGTCAAAATGTGTATATATAGAGCAGGGACTCTTTTTTATTGTTGTTTTTTGTTTTACTATAACAATAATTATAAATGTTGGAGAATCTGAAAAGCAAGAGACTTAACACACTAAATACTAGGAATGAATTACTAAAGAGGGATTTTGGAAAAGGGGAGTATGTGTGACTTGCTCATGAACATTCACAGATTTAAAAAAATTACTAACATTTGTTACCAAATAAAACTATGACTCAGTTTATCTTTTATGAAAAAGTGAGTCAATTTATTGATTGGGGAAATGAAGATTATTGATCTGATTTCATTCTCTAGTATAGTATTGTTTTATTACACAAGCAAAAAAGTGGTGTCTAAGCAAATTTCCATAAATTCAGGATCTTAAGCAGAGATTTAAGGAGTTTTCTGAGGACTGTTGCTATTTTGGGCCACAAGCGAAAGGACACTAATATCTCTGACTCTCTTGATGATTCCTACCATCTACCTATCATGTCACCTACAGCCTCCAAACAGCTTCCTTATCTGGGGTCAGAATTTTCATTTTCTTTAATCTTCCTTTTTCTTTTACATCTTTTTAATCTCCTTTTATTTGCCTTGCTCACTGTAAGAAGTTGAAGATTTTAAAACAAATTTAACCAATCCAGTGAATTCCCTGGTGTTCCAGTAGTTAAGACTCGTTCCTTCCACTGCAGGGCGCACAGGTTTGATCCCTGGTCAGGGAACTAAGATCTCACATGCCACATGATGCAGCCAAAAAAAAAAAAAAAAAAAAAAACACGCAAAAAGACAAATTTAATCAATCCAATAGTTATACATTTTATAGAAAATGGTGGATTTTTTTGCATTTCTCAAAATAAACTCTCAACATTAAGATATTCTTTAATATCTATGGAATGATTAATATTTACTTTCCCGCTCATTCAGTGACCCTTAGCAAATAAAAAGGCTACACACTCCCTTAACATTTCTATAATTTTAACTCCCTCCACACATATTTTACAAATTCTATGAAATAGACCTTACGCTGTGGGTACAAACATAAACACAATCATTGAAACAGATGTTCAAAGATAGTAGACATTTACAAATATTCAATGAGTTACTATGATGATTAATATCAGTTCCTGGTTTAAACATCTTTTCTCCATCTCAGGTCTCAGCTTATGATGTTTGCTGCATCTAGAGGCAACATCTTTCTCAGCACCAGACGTGTGTATTCCTAGTGATCCTGACAATGACCGTCACTGTGTGGGCTGCATCTCCCGTGAGCACTGGAGTACAGAAACATACTGGAAGCAAATGTATATGGAGAGATTGAAGGAAGCGGTACTAGGGCACAGTTGTATTCCCTGAGAAAAATTTTAGATATGAATGCCATCTCATTTGGTTTTCAGCCAATAGGAACAAACCAACAAGATATATACCCAGAGGAGGTTGTATGCAAAGCACTATAAAAGTATCAATGATTTCAATGGATACAGGTTTAAGCAAGTTCCAGGAGACGGGGGGTGGGGTGGGGGACAGGGAAGCCTGGCGTGCTGCAGTCCATGGGGATGCAAAGAGTCAGGCACAATTGAACTGAACAAGAACAATAAAAGTATCAACATCAGACAGGTGTTCCCCTGGCCACATGGTGGGGTGGGGTGTGGTGTGTGGGGTGGTATTCTGTAGAGACATACATGCTTCCAAAGACCTGGGTCTTAAGTTACAAGTGGTCCTTTCGGGTTCTGAGCAACCATCTTACTTCTTTACTGGTACAGATGCCCTGAGAAATGGGCACACCCTCATATCCACCATTTGGTTGACCAAGGAGGCACTTCCCTGCTTTGGGGGGATTATCTCTGGATCCTCCCATACAGTAGGAGGGTCTTAAATTCAACTAGAGTGGCCCCTTTTCTCATAATAAGCTGGTGCTTCATGAGTGAGGGGAGAGCTGGATGTCTAGATATTGGTGCTTCCCTTTTACCTTCTTTGAAAATGGCAAGTGTATATTAAACCTGGTGCCAGAGAATAGTAACATTCTGAAAGGAGGAGTTTTTATTTTTTTCGTTTTCTCCTGTTTCAGAATTTCACCTGTTCCTTGTCTGACCTCTGGGGGGCTTACTCCAGATGTCAATGAAAATGTAAAATCAGTGAAATAATCAGCTCTTTAAGGAGTATTTGTACACTTACCCGGGAATCTCTGAGAAAAGATCTAAAACACTATGGGATGGCTATCTGATGAATACGCTGCAGAGAAACTGGACGTTATTTTTGGACAGAAAAAACAGTAAGTGCATATTATACCAGATAATGTAAGGACCCCCGTGTCACAGCGTTGCTATACCTGGAGCCCTACTACGATATAGCCCCAAACTGTTAGGACTTTGGAGGATAAATGACGGAGGAAAGGAGCCCTGCTTCCAAATGCAAGAGGTGAGATCTGCTCTCCAGTCTCTGGGACGGTGATTCGTTTACTGACTGTTTATTTATCTGGCTCTATTCGAGAATTACTTCCTTTTATTTATTTTCCCCCATTCCAAGACTGAAATCATGAACCCGTAAAACAAAAACCCAAACCAGATTTACCTAATGGGAAGCTTGCAAGGGGTATGCGTTGAAGAAGCCGCTCCAAAGTAGGTTCAGGAAGATGCAAGTGGAAGATCAATTTCATTGAATGGGGACCGGGCTCTTCGAAGCCCGGCGTTGAGGCTGAGCAGGGTGGGGGAGGGCGGCCAGCTCTAAGGTCATCCCTCCTGCAGTTTTGGGAACCAGGTAGACTGTTACTGAATGGCCGTGGCACCGGCGGTCAATGAACACCGGCGAGCTCATTAGGGGGCGAATCGTAGCAGCAGAGACATCCGTGCGCCGGAGCTCGTGGGTGGATTTGGAGCATGACCAGGGCGCCCCAAACTGCGCTCGGAGGCTGCGGTCTGGGGCCACCTCTCGCATCTCCTACCGGGGTGAAGCCAGCCCAGCGAGGCGCGGGCGCCGCACCGGGGGTGGACTAAAACCTCTCCCGATGATCGGGGGCGAGGACGGTGGGGAGAGGGAAGCCGAATTGCGCAGCATTTAAACCACTATTAAAAAAAAAAAAAAAGCCAACTCGCGCCTCCCTGGCTGAGCGGTGGTGACGCGTTGGAGCGTCCCCGAGGGGTTAGGACAAGCCCGGGGCGAGCTGGAAAGGCGGCAGGGCTGGAATCGGCGGGCGGGGGCTGAGCGTTTCGGGCGGCCGGGAGCCGGAGGCCGCAGGGTCCGGGCGCGCCGGGGCTCTGTCGGGGCCGGGAGGTAGCAGTGAAGGCTTCACCCGCGTCTCCCTAGCTTCCCGGCTGGCGGAAGCGCGCCGCACCGTCCTCCCCGCGCCGCCTCCGCCTCTGTCCCCTCACCTCCGGCGCGCGGCCCGCCCGGCTCCCCGGGCCCGTCCCTACGCCCCCGCCCGGCGCGCAGCCCCGGCCGCCGCAGCCCCCGCCAGCCGCGCGCCGCAGCTGGAGCGCCGGGGCCGGCCGCGCGGACCGGGGGGCGGAGGAGGAGGGAGGGAGGGGGCGGGAGGCGCGGGAGGAGGACGGAGCCGGGAGGAGGAAATAAATAAATAAAACAATAACCTCCGCGCCAATAAGAGCGAGCGAGCGAGAGAGATACAGCCAGAGAGCCTCCGGTGCCCGTTCGCTCGCCTCTGAGAGGTTCTCCCGGCGCGCGCGCGCGCGTGTGTGTGCGTGAGTGTGTATTTGCCGGGACTGGAGCTGGAAAGTTCAAACTAAACGTGTTGCTCGCACCGCTCGCCGGGGCCGCGGCGGAGGCTGCCCAACTTCTCTGGGCCAAGTGCCCGGCGGTGCCCTGCGCCCTTGGCGCGGCGGCGGTGCCTCGGCCCTGCGCCCGGGCGCGGCGGCTGCGCCTCGGCTCGCTCGGGAGGGAGCCCGCGGCCAGGGCTGGACTCTCGCCCCGCCACCTCCAGCGACGCTCCCTGCTCGGCCTCCGCGCCTGGCGATCGCAGCAAGGTACGTGGTACTTTCCCCACGGCTTCGACCCCTGCCCAGCCCTCGCGGATTGCGGGCTGCCCGGGGTCTCTCCTTCCCCGGAGCAATCGTCATTTGTCAAACTTTACCTCCGCCTGGCGCTGCCCGTGGCGGCTGCAGCCAAACCCTCCCCGGTGGCGTGGGCACCTCTGGCCAAGGGGCTCCGACCGGGGGGAGGATCCGCTGGCCGTGGTGTTTCCCCATCTGGATGAACATCGCGGCTCTGATTAAGGCGCAGGTCTTACCTTGCGGGAGTGTCCTTTATTACTGTTCCTTGTGATGCTTATAATGGTTTTCCTTGGCCCTTCTGCAAGGAAGGACGTTCAAGTTTGCAGGAAAAGGTACATGTAAAGCAGGGGAAGTTTGCAGCCACTCGACTCCAAGAGGGGAGTTAACGCTGTCTTTGCAGTAGCGGCTGCGGTGGCGACCGTGGTGGCGGCCGTGGTGGCGGGGACGGCAGCCTGGCGGAAGGCGGCGGCTGCATATTGTCCCGTCTGTGACTGGGAGCTGGAGGAAAAGTGTGGCTGCCTGCTCCGAAAGCGCGACACCGGAGCTGCCTGCAAAGATGCTGCGGAGGAAAGAAGCCGAGGGCTTCCTGGTCTTTGGGTAAATCCTGTTTGGACAGGCATTCTTCTCTTCTGTGGTCTTTATGTACTTACTGATAGGCATGTTTTTTTTTTTTTAAATCTCTTTAAAACTTTTATGCATATATTTCCATTTCTCAATGAGGTGAAAGACTTCTTAGGACCCTTAGGAGAAATGTCTACCTCTGTGGTTGGAGCAATGTGCAAACCTGCAATGGATGTACCTAGTTCCTTCTTGTTTGTATTAGATACCCTACGGTGAAGCGTATCTTCAGTGCCTCTGTTTTAATGGCGGTTGTGGTTTCTTCATTATTATTCTTTTCTTTGAAATTATCAGTGAAATTGGAACTCTAGGCGAAACACAAATTAAAAAGTCACAGTAAGTTTCTCAAGCAACGTGCGTGAGTCTTTTGAAGCCACCTGCTGAATTAGTTCCTGTTACTTTTTAGAGGTTACCGCTTGGTGCAGACGATGTGGGCTGATCCAGCAGATGGAGCAGTGGAAAGCTGTACTAGAACCTGCCTGCCACACTCATTTATCCCTGGTCAGTCACCATGATACCAAAAAAAAAAAAAAGTATCTGGGGCTCATTTTAGGAGAGGCAGTGGATTTTCTGTCCTGTTTGGGAAAAAAAAAAATCATGCCAACTGAAATATAATTGAAGCATATCTGTAGAAATTTCAATTCTTTAAGCTTTTTTTCTTCCATAATACATTAAAAAATAGTTCCTTGCACCGAATAAAGAATAATATGATTCACTCATGTGAGAAATACCAATTAGTCGTATAGTTACATTTTGGGGGTGATTCAGAGCAGCATGGAAAACAATTCCTCCTGTCATATTAAAGGCTAATTACTGTGTGATAATTTGAAAGACTACATAAACTTGTATTTAAAAGTGAATCAACATTATCAGTTTGAATACTTTTCAGTAGTTCGAATGTAACTGAGTTTGTGCTATACAAATTTAAGCTAGGCCGATATACATATTTCTTGAAATAATTTACTGTAACTGAAATTGAAGAAGAAAAGTTGATAAAACTTTCTAGTAATTCTGGTGAATTGCTAGTTCTTTCCTAGACTCACATGAATTTTTTAACTGCTGTGACCTGAACACATTAATCATACATGCAGATAGAAAGGAAAAAATCTTCAAAGACTACTTTTTTTGTGCCTGTACATTGGTAATTATTGTAACAATGATCATGTTACAATATGGCAGAGAGATAATCTGCCTTCCTACATAAATTTATAAACTTTACAGGCAGTCATGCATCTGACAGTGTAGCTTTACAGTTAACAGAAAAAAAAACAGGCTGTCCATTTTACAGGCAAAGCAGCAAAGGCTTAAGAAACTTCAGGTCTTTGGTGGGCTGTTTCAGTAGAGAACCTTTTGTCAAATCTAGGCTGACCATCTCCAGTCTCTGCACCTTTCATTGCATTTTGCTATAGGTTTCACTGTGTCTTAGAACTCTGCTTAACTACTCTGGAAGAACTCAGTTATTTTATTTTTATTATTTAGTACTTTAAAACTTCTAACAATGTATCAAGCATCTTAGGAAACCTAGGGACAAATAGGATGCTTTTGGAAAATGTAGTACCAGTAATCATTTGAACTATACCTGCTTTAGATTGAGTGTACAGGTTTATATGATATAGGTGATTATTTTATAAATTATCAGATAACATCTCTAGAAAAGTACTTAATTGTGAATTCTAAAAACTATTTCCTTTACATCCCCATAATATTAAATAAGGCTCGGAACTCCTCTGTTGTAATATAATTACTTTTCTGAAGGAACTGATTTTATCTTGTCTGTTGCCACACAAATTGATTATGGGTTTTAAAATTTATCACATACCTTTACCCATTCACTCATTGCAAAACCAAAAATATTTCCATGTAAACTGTTGAAATATTTATTCCATGTCTAAATGTTTAAAAATATGAGAATAGGACATTTAATAAATTTTTATCTTTATTAGGCATGTTAGATTCCTCGGGCATGACAACTAATTGATAATTTAAAAGGCAGCTAATAACAGCAATGTTGATTTAGTAAAATAGGTAGAAGTGAGTATGTATAGTTATTGCTTATGTGATATATACATTTTCAAACAAAACCAGGTGTTTATAGGTTTTTGTATAAATTTATTCTCGATGAAATATTGATACAAATAATATAATTCTGGTATAACGTGGACTTATAGATACATAAATTATATTTTGGAACTTTTAAAAATGCTCAATACTCTCTATTTAATGCAATAAGTAAACTCGGTCAGTTAAGTTTATTTGACAGAATCATGTAAGGTAGGTAGACAGATATCATTAAGTCTCCTGAAGTGACTGTGGTAGTGTACTGATGAATTTTGGAAATTATCTAATCATTAACTTTTAAATTCTCATTTTAAAAGCTACAGTATCACAAATAGGTTATTTTAAAGTATCAATTAAAGTGTGTGTCTCTATTTAACCCAAACTTCATTTTTGCAGTCTGGCAATCACTGAGTGTTTGTCCTTTTTATTATAGTGATTTTTATCCAAGTTTTTCATTATTTCTATCTTTTCAGGACTTTATTCTGTTATAGCTGTCTTAGGCAGTTTTCTTCCAACAGTATAAAAGTGTAGCTATTGATTTTAGACTTAAATTTATTTCAGTTGAATGAAACTTTAAAGAAAATATTTAGAGGGTCTGAGAGATTATGAAGAAGCAGCAAGTTTTGTTTCTTTTTCTCCATTAAATTATCATCTAAGAGATGAAATAGATTTATCAGTCAGTGAAGATCAAACAAAAGATGAAATCTTTTTATCCTTTAATTTCTATCTTGTCAGCAGCCTGTTTGACTTCACCTATAATGTAAAGTATAACTGAATATGACTTTCACTTGTAATTTTTAGAAAATGCACATATATGTGAACCTTGGGTTTTATTGGGGGTGACACCTTTAGTTTCTGAATGAAGAAAGAGTTTCAAGCAGTATATATAAAAGATCAGTTATAACATAAGAAAACAAAAATTCTGATGTGCACAGCAGTTAAAAATATATCTTAGACTATAAGTCTTAGCAGAAATGGTGAGAATCTGAAGGTTTATTTCAAATGATATTTCCAAATTTTAATGTTACTCTAAAATTTATATGTTTATGATATGTTGAGTGCAATGCCTTTATATCTAAGAACCCTTTTCATTTTTCAACAAGCACTTACTCTTATAAAACTCTACCAAGAATAATATAACTAAATTATATGTATTTAATCATCTGTACTAAGTATATATATATATTTACATTTTAAACCTGAGTGTAATTTTTCTCTTACCATATCAATATTAATGAACAGATTTTACTTCATTGACTATCCAAAAGTCTTTTTGAAGTCTAGGGACTTCAGGCATTTTTTTCTATGTGGTTTTAGAGATACTCAGTTGCAGAAATGTGATTAGAAAGCCACCTTACTAGTCATCCAACTACCATAAAATAGGTGATGGATCCCTAAGTATAGCATATTATATGGATTACTTGTATTGTTATTTAAAGGTTAAAATCATTGGCTAAGACAAACACAAGTATTTCTTAGTGATGGTGGAAAAGTCTCTTCCCTGTTTTTATAGGACATACATTTAGAAGTTTACTGAAAAAGGTGGATGAGTCAAAACTTGGTATCAAATTAGTGAAAAAATTAAGGATTTTGCAGAATCATCTATCAATTACTACAATAAACATATTTTCTAGGCATTTTTCCAAGAAGTAGGAGATTTGAAAGAAATAGAAAGAGGCATAATTAAAAGAAAAAGAAAGCAGCATTATGGAAGAATTTACTACCTGATATTGTTAGAAGAAAACAGTTGTCTACCTAGTGTTTGCATTATGATAGCAATGCGTTTTATGATTCTGACTGATTTACAACCCCCAGGCCCCCAACATTGTTTCCTGTTTTCTAATATGAATATTTTAAAGGTTTTTGTAATATTTGACAAATTTTCAGAACTTTGTGCCTAAATTGAAGGAAGAGATAATGCTGTCGCCAAATTAAAAGACTGAATAACTGTTTTCAACAAGTTCAAATTGATATTACTTCACATATACCCCCCAACTCTGCTGATGATTTTAGTAAGAATATAATCAGATTATAGTCCTGTTCAATTCCCCATATCCAGTAGAATAGAGTATGTTTAGGAACCTGCTAGGATCTTTGATGCTAACATCAGGTTATGAACATTATCGTACGAAATAAAGAATCCCCAAAATGCTGTAAGTCTATAGAATTTACTAAACTAGTGCCCCAGGCAAGTAAGAATGGAAACATGCTCTCCTAGTTGAGTTGTATGAAGATGAAAGCAAGGTGACTGGGGTCACCTGTTTATATCATGATTTTTTGCCCTCCAGTTTATACAAGTTTGTTAAATACATTTATTTAACTAATAGCAGTTACAAATACCAACTCATTCATTCATGGACTGCATTGATACTTAATAACTTTTGGTTTATGGCTCCATCAGTTATTCATTAAGTGTTAACTAAAGCAGAAAGATTTATTCATGTTACCTTTTAAAATAAAAAATATTTCAGCAGTTATAGGGTGATTCTAGTATGAACTTGTTTGAGTAGTTACTAATAAAACTAAA